ATATATACATATATATATATAGTATATATATATATATACAAACATACACACACACATTCATATATATATATGTATATACATACATACATACACATACACACACACACACACACACACACACATATATATATATATATACGTGTGTGTATGAATATTTCGAATGAATACTTATATCAGAATATACACCAATATAGAGCATGTTCAAACATGCAATCATTTAGTCATACTTCGTAAACCTTCCCATTTAACCCTACATATAGCCGATATCCTACTCTCCTCACATACCTGATAGTCCAAACAGAATCCTCAATAAGGAGTAGCCCCGCCATTTCATAGCATCATCTAGTTCGTGTATACTATGCTGAAAGTCGGCATAGTAATGCGTAGTCCCACCCGCAGGGTTATACAACGGTCTCTTGTTGCCCGCAGTAAGAAGCAATGTAGTATCATTCGACCCACTATTTGAAATTAGTTTGGTTGCACCATTTCTTTCCTGATTTCTGTTCCGTAACTGTGATCGCAAACGTGCGCGCGAGGCCTTGAAATAACTACTAGTAGCTCTTCTATAGCTCATAGGCGATGTCCCAAAAGTACGTCTTTGTGACTGAGATTTATTAGCAGTCATCAGCGTGGGTTTGTACAGGTGTGATGTGTTTAGCATTGTCACTTGCGTGGAAATACTAGTGTGTGTAAACCGATTAGGAATGGATGTATACGGCCTTGCAAGTAAGTATGACTTTGACTGTCCAATCTTTGTACATTGTGTAAGTGTGATTGTATTTGGTTTTAGGCCAAGTCCAGTACGTTTTGGTAGAGGGACGGGTGTGTTTGCGTTTATGTTGACAATTGTGTTAATACTGCGCCTTGCTGAAGAAAGCCAAACCACAGCATATTTCCGCCTCAAAGATTGCAGATAGGCACTAAGATAGATCATCATGACGCGAGAAATTACAGTCTTTATATAGTATATGTACAATTCTTACTATATCTATATAAATATATATATATATATATATATCTATCTATATATATATATATATATATATATATATATATATATATATATATATATATATATATATATATATATATATATATATATATATATATATATACTATATATATAGTA